CCGAAGCACGGAGAACTGATGAACGTGTCCAGGGCTGCCCAGACCGTGGGGGGCTGTGGTATGCAGGTGGGCAGGCTGTCCTGGGCAGGTGGCCCGTGGGGGCTCCCCCTGTAAAGGGCAGCTTTCCTAATCTGCAGAAGTCAGGTGGCTCTAAAATGGCCTTGCCACGTGAGTGTCACCTTGGGGACCGTAATATGCCAACCCTACAGAATGTCTGTGAGGCGTGAACGAGATAATGTGAGTGAGCTGCCCAGTGTGGCATCTGCCTGTGGACGTTCACTCCATGAGAGCTGTTTGTTTCACCCACTTTGAGAAACAACCTTCCAAAAAGAACTTACAAAAAAACAAAACAAAACAAAAGAGAATGACTGATACACAAAACATAGATGGATCTCAAAAACATTGCGCTGAGTGGAAAAAACAGGACGACAGAAAAAAAGCAAATGCTGTATGTTTCCATGTTTACGAAACTGATCTATAGTGACAAAGGCAGGACGGTGACCTCCCCGAGCCAGGGTGTGGGGTCGGGCAGCAAAGGCGTCAGAGGGAAGTCTCAGGCAAGGAGCTGCTCCGTATTTTGTAGTGTAACTCCATGGACACCTATATCCACAAACCAATGTATTTTGTCAGAAGTCATTGAACTGTGTACTGAAAATGAGGGTATTTGGTTGTGTGTAAATTGTATGTTAATAAAGTTGATCTTAAAATAATACATAAATTGAAAACTTATGTCCACACAAAAACCTGCACACTTTATCCATAACTGCCAAAGCTTGGAAGCAAGCTTTGTCCTTTAGCAGATGGATGAAGAAACTGTGGTATGTTCAGACCATGGAATAGTGTTTAACACTAAAAAGAAATGAGCTATTCAACCATGAGGACATGGAGGAACCTTAAATGCACATCACCCAGTGGAAGAAGCCAGTCTGAAGGCTACTTACTCTGTGATTCCAACTCTGTGACTTTCTGGAAAGGCAAAACTATGGACACAGTAAAGAGATGAGTGGCTGCCAGCGAATGAGGATGGAGAGGGTGGTTGGGGATGGAGAGGGAGGGTTGAGGATGGAGAGGGAGGATTGAGGATGGAGAGGGAGGGCTGAGGATGGATATGGAAGGATGAGGATGGAGACGGAGGGTTGAGGTTGGAGAGGAGGGTTGGGGATGGAGAGGAGGGTTGAGGATGGATATGGAGGGATGAGGATGGAGAGGGAGGGTTGAGGTTGGAGAGGGAGGGCTGAGGATGGAGAGGGAGGGGTGAGGATGGAGAGGGAGGGGTGAGGATGGAGAGGGAGGATTGAGGATGGAGAGGAAGGGTTGAGGTTGGAGAGGGAGGATTGAGGATGGAGAGGGAGGGTTGAGGTTGGAGAGGGAGGATTGAGGATGGAGAGGGAGGGTTGAGGATGGATATGGAGGGATGAGGATGGAGAGGGAGGGTTGAGGTTGAAGAGGGAGGATTGAGGATGAAGAGGAGGGTTGGGGATGGAGAGGAGCGTTGAGGATGGATATGGAGGGATGGGGATGGAGAGGGAGGGTTGAGGTTGGAGAGGGAGGGTTGAGGATGGAGAGGGAGGGGTGAGGATGGAGAGGGAGGGGTGAGGATGGAGAGGGAGGATTGAGGATGGAGAGGAGGGTTGGGGATGGAGAGGAGCGTTGAGGATGGATATGGAGGGATGAGGATGGAGAGGGAGGGTTGAGGTTGGAGAGGGAGGGGTGAGGATGGAGAGGGAGGGGTGAGGATGGAGAGGGAGGGGTGAGGATGGAGAGGGAGGATTGAGGATGGAGAGGCAGGGTTGAGGATGGAGAGGGGAGTTGAGGATGGAGAGGGAGGATTGAGGATGGAGAGGGGGGTTGAGGATGGAGAGGGAGGGATGAGGATGGAGAGGGAGGGTTGAGGTTGGAGAGGGAGGATTGAGGATGGAGAGGAGGGTTGGGGATGGAGAGGAGGGTTGAGGATGGAGAGGGGGGTTGAAGATGGAGAGGGAGGACTGAGGATGGAGAGGGAAGGTTGAGGATGGATATGGAGGGATGAGGATGGAGAGGGAGGATTGAGGATGGAGAGGGAGGGTTGAGGATGGAGAGGGAGGGATGAGGATGGAGAGGGAGGGTTGAGGTTGAAGAGGGAGGGTTGAGGATGAAGAGGAGGGTTGGGGATGGAGAGGAGGGTTGAGGATGGATATGGAGGGATGAGGATGGAGAGGGAGGGTTGAGGTTAGAGAGGGAGGGTTGAGGATGGAGAGGGAGGGGTGAGGATGGAGAGGGAGGATTGAGGATGGAGAGGAAGGGGTGAGGATGGAGAGGGAGGATTGAGGATGGAGAGGCAGGGTTGAGGATGGAGAGGGAGGATTGAGGATGGAGAGGCAGGGTTGAGGATGGAGAGGGGGGTTGAGGATGGAGAGGGAGGGCTGAGGATGGAGAGGGAGGGTGGATAATGGAGAGGGAGGGTGGAGGATGGAGAGGGAGAGCTGAGGATGGAGAGGGAGAGCTGAGGATGGATATGGAGGCATGAGGATGGAGAGGGAGGGTGGAGGATGGAGAAGGAGGGTGGAGGATGGAGAGGGAGGGTTGAGGATGGAGAGGGAGAGCTGAGGATGGAGAGGGGGGTTGAGGATGGAGAGGGGTGTTGAGGATGGAGAAGGAGAGTTGAGGATGGAGGGGGAGGGTTGAGGATGGAGATGGAGGGCTAAGAATGGAGAGGGGTTTGAGGACGGAGAGGGAGGGTGGAGGACAGAGAGGGAGGGTAGAGGACGGAGAGGGAGGGTGGAGGACGGAGAGGGAGGGTGGAGGACGGAGAGGGAGGGTGGAGGATCGAGAAGGAGGGACGAGCAGGCGGGGCACAGAGGGTTTCGGGCAGTGAGACCACTCCGTGTGACCCTGTCACGGTGGGTACATGTCCTCACACATTCGTGCAAACCCACAGAGCATGCACCACCAGCAGCGACCCTGATGTAGACTGTGGACTCTGGGGGATGACAGTTGTCTACGCGGGCTCATCAGTGGTGCCAAATGCACCGTCCGGGGGGGATGCTGTAGTGGGGGTGCGGTTGGGGAGGCTGTGCATGTGGAGGGGGGCATATGGGACTACTGGGTTCTGTGTTACCTCCAAGGCCAGAAGCGGCACAAACTGTGCCTGCCAGGAAGGGTCCCTGATGTCCTCAGGTGCAGAAATTGCCTCTGATTTCCCAGCCCAAGGTCACGGGCTTTGGACATCGCAAGCCTTGCTAACTTTTCGGGATTCCCTTACCCGACTATAAAGGGGTTATAATAAAAAGCGCTTTCTTGGAGCCTTTGTCCCCCACACGCGGTTTGTGATGAACACAACCTCTCCGGGGCCATCCAAATGTAACCGCACAGGTGACGTCTGCCACGACAGGTGGGGGTCGAGGGGCCAGCCGGGGAGACGTGTCAGCAGGGAGGACAGCTCTATAGGGACCTGGGCCCCACATCTCACGGGTCAGGCCCCAAGCCACCCCACCACGAGCACCTGAAGTATGGTGGAGGTCGTTAAAACACAAACCCCTGGCTCCATCAAAGACATCCTAAATGGGCATCTCTCACGTCGGGACCTAGGAATTCGCATTTTCAGGAGTTCCCAAAGTGACTCTCCCAGACTCTGAGGTTTGAGAAGCCCTGACCCAGGGGCGCCTGTGGCCGGGATTTGCACACGGCGTCCCGCATAAGCATTCGGACGGGTGTTTCCATCCCGAGTCTGCAAATAAGCAAGTGTCCCACACGTTCCGTCAGCAGGGGACAGAACTGCAACTCGAAATGAACTGCAGATGACCTCCTGCCACTGTGCTTTTTCTGCCGAGTTCCAGCCAGCACCAGAGGTCAGCTTTACAGAGTTTAATGACCAATTGTCAGTGATCAGCTGTCAATGAGGGATTCCCACCCTCTGAAACACCCAGTAATGTGCGTATATAGCCTGACTTCCTTGGGATATGGCTGTGGGCATCCAGCTGCTTACTTTCTGTTGCTGGAATGTTTGGAAGCATCTGCTCAGAGCCAGTAGATCAGTCTAAAGCATCCCAGGGCCCAGGTCACTGTCGTGTTAGCACCAAAGGGCAGGGCCACCGGCCACTGGCAAAACGGGTCCCCAAGGAAAGTCCTCAATGGGCCATTGTGGTCTCTAAAGATTTGAGCACAATGAACTCTCCTTTGCAAAAACAGATTTCATTTCATCTCTTGGAAATGGTTTTAAGAAATCCTCCTTTCTCATGGGGCGAGAATCTTAGACTAACAATGTGAGCTTTTCCCGTATCCTCCATGTGCCCCAACTTTTGTTATAAAGTTCATCACCTCGGTCTGCAAAGCCCATGTGTTTTGTGGCATTACATCTAATCTAAAAGATGTGAAAGGCCAAGAAAATCATTCCAATCTATTATCAAAATCCCAAAACTCAGGGGGGAAAGTTGCAGCTGCGGAAAAGTTCAGATTAAATTCCATTTTTGCTGGGGAAAAAAAAAAAAAAAGCCATAAGGAAACTAGAAATAGCAAACTGGTCGGGGAGCTCCTGCGTCCACTCTGGCCTAAGGATGCTCTTTGAGCGTCATCCCCAGCCCCCAACGCCCGCCCCAAGAGGCAATATTTTCACGAGGCAAAGAAATAATTTCTTAAAGAACCCTTCCAAATTAACCATGACAGAGGTCCGTGCTCACGGGGAGTGCAAACTGTAAAGGGAAATGTTTGGGTCTACAGCTTTCCCCTTTTGTAGCAGCTAAAGGGGCATGAGACCCAAGGGCGTGGGTGGCATGGAAACCACCCCGCGCCACCACCTGTGGGCGGAGGGGACAGGTGAGAGGCACCTTGTAAGTTCGAAGAGCCCCCCGCGCTAATGCTTGACTACTTCCCTCGGGAGTCTTCACACTCCTCATTCACAGGCGGGGAGGCCCCGCGGGGCCTGCTGGCAGGGCTGGATCTCCCCAGCCCGGGCGAGCACGCTCCCCGCCGAGGGCGCCAAGGGGGGCTTGTGGGGGCAGAGAAGCAACACTGCACAGATGCGGGAGCGCTGGCATCTCCAAGGATTTATTTCATCTCGGCAGAAGCGGACACGTACAAGGTTTCCCGGGCGCGCCGGGTGCGAAGACCCACGCGGCAACAAACACTGCCCCGCGCACAGCGCCCGCGGGCCGAACCGGGCCTGGAGCGGCGCGGGCGTGTCTTCAGGCGACGCCAGCCCGCAGTCTGGTGGCAGCTCGTCAGAGCCCTGGACGCGCCGCAGCCTCACAAGAGGGCGCAGCCGGCCTGCGCGTCAGTCAGCTCGCTGCCCGCCGATTCACCGCGCGCCCTGCACCCGCGCGCGGGGCCCGGGCCTCCCGTGCAGGGCGCGCGCGGGTGGGCAGAAGGGCGGGCGCACCCGGCTCCGTGGTCTTCTCGCGAACAGCATCGCACAGGACCAGGAAGAGGAGGAACGCCGATGTCTGTAAGGCCCAGATACATTTTGTAGGCTCGCAAAGCATCTACAATAGGACAGAACACAAGCGCACTTCTGCTTACGTTCCAGCCGGGGCAGGTGCTACCCTGGTTTGGGGGCCGGAACGCCCCCGGCTTGAGGAAACACGGCCAAGACCCTCAAACACACCCCGTTCCGAAACGCTCACAGGAAGTTAGGCAGGAGACCCACGGACGAGCCAGGGTTACTGAAGCCGCCCCAGGAACGAACACAGATGCGGCCGATGGCTCCATTTGTCCAGTGCCCGCCGCAAGACCCAAGAGGAAGGGTTTGAACTGCAGCAAAAGCGCGGCAGAGTCTGTGAGTCCTCTTAAAGGAGAGAGGTGCCACCAGAGACGCAGAAATCCCATCAGCAAGTCCCAAACCCAGCCCCAGAGAGCTGCCCAGAGTCAGCTGTGGTGCTCGGGTTGTTCCCAAGACCAAGAATAAACACAGCAAAGAAGACGTCTCCAGGCGCCCGTCTTTGGGTTTCAAGTGAAACTCGATGGACAACAGGTTGCCAGCTAACCAAAGGATGGAGCTTTTCTGTCTACTGCGGTCTCCCCCGACAAGACCACTGCTCTTTCGAATAGGTGGAAACGTCCGTGTGCGGGGGTTAATTTTATGAGAATTACGGATGGTCCTCCTCCACACATTAGGTTCACTTGCCTCTGACAGATCAATCATCAGGAGTATGTCTGCAGCAAAACAAGCCACCGGGTGAATAATAATAGGTATTCCTACACAGTGCTGGACGCAGATCAGAGCATCAGGTTGTACATGCAAAGGCCCCTCCTTGGAACATCAGCGGTCAGGGGCAAGTCTCAGCAGGGACTGTCCCCCCACATCCCCACCCCCAACAAGCAATCCTCCACATCATGGCCCCAGAGGGCTGGTGTTTCTGCTTGCTCGACTGGTGCAAGCCTTGTGGCTACAACTCTAAATACTGGCCCCGAAAGCAAAATAAAGTGGTCCCCATGGCATTTGCTTCTCTGAGGTATTCCCATTTAGAAATAAGCACATTCTTCTATGTCCTTTCGCCTACCCTTACGTTCCCCTGGGCTTCCTCGTGTATTCCACTGGGACAAGCCCCTGGAGCTCCAAGGCCAGTTCCCGCAGGAGTGACCCCATGTCCAGGGCTGGCCTTTGTTAAATGAAATCATAAAACAACACACAGAACTCCAGCTGGGCATGTGATGGTGAGGCTCTTGGCACCTGCCACCCAGCACTTCCCGGGTGCTCCTGTGGGGACGGGTCTACTCTGGAAACCCATCTCCACAGTATTTTGTTTTGAAACAGTGAACAGGAATGATTTCTCGAGCAAAATCACAGTGAAAGTATTTTATGAATTAGAGATTTAAGGAATGAAAATATTAGCCTGGTTCCATTTCATATAAAAGCTTTAGCATAAATATAGGAACATTCTAGAGGAAAATGTGCTACGATACAAGGCGTACGTTTCTTTAAAAGAACATTATTTGTTTCCTTTGCTCTAACTTCTCTTTCTACTACCATTTCTGCATTCTACTCCTATAGAAGGCCAGGAAATATGAAGTCTGTCCTTCTTTCCTAAGAAGATGATGAGCCAGGCTGCCAAGATATCCTCTTGGCTCATGAGCAATCATGAGCAAGCACACAGATCACCGAACACACTCTAACTGAAATCATAAATCCCATTCCTCCAGCACATGCACAAAGATGCAAGCTGGTCATTTCTAAACATACTTAACCAATAACTTTCTTAATCACAGACTCTTTAAAAAGCGTAACTTATTTCCCAACGACCCACTACTGCTACAGAGACGTCAACCCCCATCACTGGATTAAGAAGTTAAGAGTAGGAAAGGGGTGTATGATTTCCTCTAATTAACTGCCAGTGACTTTCATGTGTACTTTTCCTATTATAATCAAAAAATGGATTGGATTCAGAATCCAGATCAGTTTACCTCTATTTGTGAGCATATACTTTAACCTTAAATTCTTAATAAATCATAAACTCTGTCTACACCTATTTGGAAAGTAAACGTTATAACAAATGAGAAACAATCATTTGGTTTCTTTTTAATGCTCGTGACCTCTCAAAGTACTGAGTTTCATGTTAATTCTATTAGGGTATTTTGGAATTCAATTAGAAAAATGTAGTTTACTTGCTAATTACATTATAAATATATGTTATTTTCCCTTATGTCAATATGCTTCTTGTCACTCTGCCACATCATGCTTGTAAAAATTAATTTCCCTCGTCAGAATTACCTAATACATACATAGAACATCATAAGTAGTGGGTTCCAAAGGTGCCTACGTGTTCGTCTTTAGAAGTGTCAAAAAGACTGGTTTTAGCCTTCTTCTTGGGGGGAGGGGGAGGGGTAATCATTTCTTTGAGCCCATTATAAAATATGAAGGTGGCTGAGCATGTATAGGATACCTGACGAAGGTACCTTTTAAAATAGACAAGCATCCTTGTGGGTCAGCTTTTCCTACTCATGGTCTGCTCTCTGAAGTAAGAGTAAATCATTACTAGGACATCGGACATAATCATTAACACCCTTTAACTTAAAAATCTGTAACCCATCTCAGTTGAAAGGTGAGAAGGAGCTGCCCTTGAGAGGGGGGTGAGGCCCATTCTGTGGCATGTGCATTCGGCAGGGGAAATCCTTCCACCGCTTGCTGGACAAGAGACACATTGTACCAAAGATCCCACCTTTCATGCTTGCGAAATCGGGAACTAACCCAACCCACACTTGAACACAGGATGACATGAGCCTCTTAACTAAATTAGAAAAGTTTTAAGAGCTCTACCTATGGGTAATGAGCTTAAGCCTCAAGCCATCAGAAGTGTGGCCTTCTTCCAGTGGCTCACCAATACAGCTCACGGTGGCCTAGGGCCGGGTCTCCCCTGTGGCTCCGAGGCCCGGAGCTGTGTGCGCAGGGCCTTCTCCGGGCGGAGCGAGGAAGCTACTGCGCAGACTCACGTCTGGCCAACTCTCCACCCGACCCCCAGCACGCCCGGGCACCCTCTGGGACCCACCCATCGATCCTGAGGCTTAATCTTCCAATTCCTTCTCCTTCTCCCCCAGATATCCCGTGTCATATTTGTAAGGTTACCTATTTGCACGCACCTTACATATCATGCCATTGACCCCGTTAAGCATAGCGGCGCAAAAAAGGAACGCAGAATAGGGCAGCAGACCTTAAAACAGCATTGCAAAAAGTCTTCAAGGCCCCGCGACAAGCTTCCAACTTCAAAGTGTTTAAATGGTCCGCGTGGACAGCGCCCACGCCAGGGCTCTCTCCGCGGCCCCCTCCCAGTTGGATCTCCGCCCACGGGGGCGTGCCTGAGGGAGGTGCCCCCCCGCACCCCCCCGCCCTACGCGGCGCCCTCCTCGCCTCGGTCTGGCTTCTCCTCGGGCAGGTTGAGCACGAACGGGAAGAGCGCGCCTCGGGCGTCCAAGGGGACGCGGAGCGGCGCGGGCTCGAAGCTGCCGCCTTCGCCCGCGCCCACGTCCGCGCCGGGCTCGCTGTCCTGCGGGGGCACGAAGCGCCAGGTGCCCGCGCGGCTCACGCAGTAGATGGTGCCATCCAGCGCCACGCAGCGGAAGGGCTGCAGGCCGGACGGCGCGCCCGGGGGGCGCAGGTGCGCGGCGCAGCGGCTCCACTGCTTGGCTAGGCAGTGGTAGCGGAGCACGCTGACGCCTCCGGCCGACGGGGCCGCCGCCTGCGAGTCGCCACGGCCCCCGCCCAGGTCGAAGCGGTAGATGAAGCCGTCCAGGGCCACCATGGCCGCGGAACGCTCCCTACTGCTGCTGCACGGGCACTCCTGCCACTCGTCGCGCCGCGGGTCGTACTTGAGCAGGCGGTAGAAGAGAGAGCCCCCGGACACGTAGATCTCGCCGTTGCAGGTGGTGGCTTCGTGCGCGACGGCGAAGGCGCCGCGCGGTAGCGGGGCCACGGCGGCCCAGCGGTCGGCGCGCGGGTCGTAGCGCTCCACGCTGAGCAGGCACTCGCCGCCCACGGCGTACAGGTGGCCGTCCAGGGCCAGCAGCTGCAGCTGCGAGCGCGCCTGGCGCAGCGGACGCACGGTGCTCCAGCGGTCGGTGGCCGGGTTGTAGCAGAAGACCTGGTCCGAGGGGCGCGCGCGGCCGTCGGGACCCGCAGGCCCCACGCCGCCGGCCACGAAGAGGTAGTTGTAGAGCACGCACAGCCCGCAGCCCCGCGCCGGCGCGCCCTCGGGCAGCCGCGTCAGCTCGCGCCACTCGCCGGCCGCCTCGTGCAGGCAGTAGACGGCGGCGTCGCCCCGGCCCTCCGCGTCCCCCGACGGGCTCTGCGGGCGGCTGCCCGCGCGCTCCCCGGCCGGTCCGAGCGCGGCGGCCAGCAGGCGGGCCCGGCCGGCGCGCAGGCGGCGGCGCAGCAGCAGGTCGCGCTCGGCGCCGGACAGGCGCCCGAACACGGCGGGCTCGCGCAGCACGTCCAGGTAGTGGTCGCTCATGAAGCGGTAGGCTGCGTCGCGCAGCTCGGCCAGTCGCTGCCGCTTGGCCGCGCTCAGCACCTCGTAGCAGTTGGCCAGGCTCAGCTGCGGCGCCACGGCGTCGGTGGCGCGCTGCACGGCGCACGGCAGCTGCAGGCGGCGCGCGCCGGCCACCACCTCGGCCACGTTGTCGGGCCGCACGCCCGCCATGCGCCCGCTGTACGCGTAGGCCAGGAGCAGCCGCAGCGCCGCCCAGCCCACGCCCTGCACCCGCAGCACGTCCCGGGACGCGCGCGCGCGGAAGTAGTCGCTGCGCGCCGCCAGCACCGCCTTGTGCGCCCGCAGCCGGCGGCCGGACACCTCGATGACCAGGTCGGGCTCCCCGTGCGCGGGCCCGACGCCCGGCGGCACTGGCGGGGCGTCCGCGGGCTCCTCGGGGGACACGGGCTCTTCCAAGGACGCGGGCTCCTCGGGGGACACGGGCTCTTCCGGGGACGCGCGCTGCTCGGGTTCCGCGGGCTCTCCCGGCGACACGGAATCCTCGGGGGGCGCGCGCGGCTCGGGCTCCCCGGGCTCCGCGGGGGACGCGGCGCCCGCGCCGCCGACCTCCCACTGCCGCTCCACCACCAGCTGGCCGCTGCGACGCGAGGGCGGGGAGGACGCTGCGCCTTCCGCCGCGGAGGCGCGAGACTGCGGCGGGGAGTCGTCCCCGGAGCTGAAGCACAGCGACGCGCTGAGCCTGCAGGGTGTCTGCGCGTCGGGCGGCTGCAGGCTGCCCTCTCCCGGAGCCGCGGGAGCGCCGCGCCGGCCCCCGGCCTGGCCGCACGCGCCCTGCGCAAAGGCGCCCCCGGCCTGGGCCCCGCGGCCCTGGTCGTCCCTGGGGTAGAGGGCGCAGGGGGGCACCGGGTTCTCCATGGGGCCGCTGGCCTTCGCCGCCGCCGCCGCAGCCAGCCCCCCGCTCAGCAGCCCCCCATGACGGCGCCCTGACTCGGGCTGCTCTCGGGCTCTAGCTTCGCGGGCTTTTCCTGGCCCGCGCGATCCGGTTTCCCTTCTGCGTGCACAGCTCCGTTGGCTCACACAGCGCTGCCCTCTCCCGCGAGGAGGACTGTGTCGGCCCAGCGTGCACTCAGCTGAACTGCCGAAGGGCAGGCTCGTCAGCGCCGGCTAGCCAAGTGCCCGGGGGCGGGGGGTGTCTCCGTGGCTTTGTCTGCAGGCCGGCGCACGGATGCCTCCCTGCAGGTACCGCCCCGCCACGGCCTCCGGGGTATCTGCAGTTCCTTCTCCGCAGCGCTGAGCTACCTGCAACGGCTAACAAACCAGGGCAGGCCCTTTCTTTCTGGGCCAGTGTTCATCACTTTACTTTCATCCCATCAGTTCCATCGCTGCGTCCCAGGACGAACCCGCCCAAGGCAGGCTGCCTCTAAAGTTAAGAGCCGGGTTTTAACTCCTTTTCCTGTGCAGCGCACCCCACGGAGCTCGATTTTATTTTTAAGACTCCCATTTGTGATTCGGGTTTCTATTAGTCTCCTGTCCCGGCATCAGCAGCTCCTGATGTGTCTGCATCCACACTGTTCACCCCCCTCCCCGGGGGGGTTGTCCATAATTCACTTGCCAGGTGGGTGTTAGAAAAACACCATTACTGCAGGAGAACTGGCCTTCCTCGCTGATCTGTCAGGAGCCTCTTCCTTTGTTGGAACATCAGGTGTTTCCATATGGTGTCAGCACACTCTTCTTGTTCCTGTTTGTGGGAGAGAGAGACGGTGTTTGAGTGTGCGTTTTTCAGCGGGGTTATTGTGGGTCAGTGGGGTCTACCACACTCCCCACCACTGCCAGGTTAGGGGGCTCACAGTGGGTGGGAAAGGGGAGTGTGACTCTTCACTGCTGGAGAGTTTGATGAGTAAGATATACAGAACAACTTAGGGATTTTTTAGAAGTGCCCTCTCCTTATTCCTGCCCTGTTTGTGAGGCCCATGAAGGAGAACCCAATTCAGGCAATGCCCTTTAAAAACATTGGGTTGACCCAAACAAAACTGCTTGTTTTATGGGAAAAAAATATATAAAGCAGTCAAATGTCAACAAATTCCTATTCTCAACCTAGTGAGATGTATGCGTAAAGGACGTTCAGTGAGAAAGCATAATTAACCTTATTAATTTTACTAATATGTGACAGTTTTCCTATAGTCCTTCCCAGTTGGTTTCAAAAACAAATATTTGGAGAGGGAGCTGAGGACACTTCTCTGGAGCTGGCCTCGGAGGCTCAACTCTGAAATCTGTTTGAACTGCTCATTCTTGGAATTGTGTCTCTGAAAAACCTCAGAGAAGCAATTCTCCAAATAGCCCATGTGCAGCAAAAGAAAGGCCAATGCAGAAAAAAAAAAAAAAAAGTATGTGGAAGGCAGATGTGAGCACCTGCAGATGAATGTTAAAATGTAATCTTTCCTAGGGCACCTGGGTGGCTCAGTTGGGTTAAGCGACTGCCTTCGGCTCAGGTCATGATCCCAGGGTCCTGGGATCGAGTCCCACATCGGGCTCCCGGCTCAGCGGGAAGCCTGTTTCTCCCTCTCCCACTCCCCCTGCTTGTGTTCCTGCTCTCTCTGTCTCTGTCAAATAAAAAAATAAAAAAAAAAAAATGTAATCTTTCCTAAATTGGCAAAACCTTCTGAGACTCCCCAGCCTGAAAGGGGTCTTAGCAGTCTTACCATGAACATAAGGGGAGAATCAGATTGTGTTGTAGCTTTCTAAAGAAGAGAACAGAGGCAAGAAAAACACCAAGTACAGCTTAGTTTTATCATTATTAGGTAGGATGGGTTAGCCTCTCAAATGAGACAGATGATTCTTAAGCAGCTTCCCCAGCATCTCCTGATTTCTGCCTATCCTACTGAAGACCGTTCCCTGATCCTTATAAATGCTCAGGGTTGAGCATATATACCTGCTTGCCCTCTGCTTCCTTCTGCTGTTACTAAAAACGCTTTCCCATTATTTTAGCAGTACACGTCTTCCAAGTTGGAAATTCAAAACATTCCATTCTCTCTCCCTCTCCCGTCCTCTCTCTCTCCCAGAAATCTTTATCGGTAACTCCCATGGCACATCACTGTATGCAAGGCAGCGTCCAGGACGCACGGAAATGCCGGGGTAGGAAAGGCTGAGTGAGCTGAAAGCCTGGCCTGCAGGGGTGCGTGGGTCGCGGAGGAGGCCAGCAGGACAAACGCGCTCCTGTGTTGACTCAGCTGTGGCCCAGCCCCGCCGCGATGCTGTCTCTGTGCCGTCCATCCTGTCCCGAGCCGCCACGCCCAGCGAGGTGGCCGTGAACGCTGGTGCACGGCGAGGGAGTGTGGAACATGCTGGGACGCTCGGAGCCGCGATAAAGCAAAGCGCGTGGCACCGTCCCAAGGATGAACGGTGCTTGCTCAGTCGGCGAGGGGATTCGAGGGAAAGTCTGATAGAACTAAGGCGCACTAACATATCTTACTCAAAAATTCATAGATACAGAGAACAGAGGTTGTCGGAGTCAGGGGTGGGAGAAATGGACGAAGAGGGTCGAAGGGTAAGTGTGTGTGTGCGTGTGTGTGTGAGCACGCGTGTGCCCATGTGCTGGTACGTACGCATGTGTGAATCTTAATGTCAGAAAATCTGAGAACTGGCTGTTATTAGGCTCGTTCTTTAACACTTCTGTACACCGCACAGGACCGTAGACCTCAGAGGACTAACCTAGTGTTTTCTTTCTTTTTGTGGCCTGAGAAAGGGTTCCAGAACTTCCTGGCTCTTTCGCTGGCTTGACTTGCTAGAATGAATAAAAACCTGAGCCCTAAAGGTTGTCTTCGTTGTAAATCATACTGAAAGAAAAGGCATAGAACAGGACATGTTTTTAAAGCTTAAGTTTGGAACTCTGTTTTAAAAGCCCTGCAGAAGCAGGCCGGTAAGTATGTTGTTGTAACTACAATTAAGCAGGGGCTGTAGCTCCACAAAGAAACCAGCACAACCCAGGTAGCGGGTGGTCTGAGCGCTGGCGCGGTCTGGTGTCCTCCAAGACACAGACGTGGTTCTCAGCCCAGCCAACCAGCGAGAGTAACACGCGATTCTCTGGAAAACCGTGCCTCTAGAGTTCTTCCGACGATACCACTTTTCCTCACCAACACACATGAGCGTTCTGGAATTGTGTCCTCTTGCACGGTATTTCCAGCAGAGGTGGCTTGACACCGCTCCATGGACGCCTCCTCACCGGGCGCCCCGTGCACCCGGGCTGCGATTAGAGCCGGTCACACCAGCCTCCCTGGGACGGAGCCGTGACAGTCCTTCCCAGCTCAGCCCCACGACCGGCCCTGCACCCAGCGACCACGTCAGGAATCCCTGTGCCTGTCCAGCCAGCCGTGGCAATGCCCCACACACGTTGTCAGGGATGCGGGGCAGCCTTCCGCTCTGACGTCAGGTGCGGTGACGCTGAGTTGGGAGCTGGGAGGCCAACCCCAGCAGTCCCTCCACCAGGGAAGCCACGGTCCCCAGCACTGCAAGTGTCTGGCCTCTTGTGAGTCTCACCCACCACCTTGCAGAACAGGTGGATCAGATTCCACAGGAGAAATGAGGACATTAGGCAGAGAATTGTTTCTTTTTCAAACGGTGTCAAAGAAACTCAACAGTAACAGCTCTATCTTTCCTCCCCCCAGAATGACCATTACTGTGATTTCACCTTAAAACTGATGGGGAGGAGTCAGCCCATTGGGCATTAACAGTCCTGAGACATCAGCAACTCTGCTAAGTTGCTTCATGTCAAATTTCTCTGGGTTGGAAGTCAGGGTCCCCCCCCCATTTTGTGGTTGGTTCTAGAATCAGAATTCCACGAAGAGGCTCCTGGAGGACTCTGTTTGGACGCCCGTCTTGGTCATTAGAAGTAACTGAAACTCCCTAAGCAATGGTGGCCTGGGGAAGGTCACCATCAGGGGCTGCCCTGAACACCACCTTGGAGGTTGCTGCATCAGAGAGAAGACAGAGTCCTGGCATATCGGGACGCGCCAGGGGGAGACGTGCCTGACACTCACAGGCTTTCTTCTTGACTCTAGTTAGAAAACCTTTCAGTAAGAACAAGTTTTACTTAAATATAATTTATGTGGCATTTCCCCCTGACGGATATGAATTTCTTCTTGACCTTATACATACCTAAACAGAATTTTTTAAAGTTTCTTTCCATGAATTTCTTGACTATTAATAGGAATTTTTAAAAATGATTGTATGATTTCCTAATGTGGACACTATTTATGTATCTAATGTGGATATTAGTTTATTTAAAACTAAATATGCTTCATTGTAACACAGGTTGCTTAAAAGAATCTTTCTTTTAAATTATTAGGGTCAGCTTTTTAAAAAAACATACTTGTTAATAGACTGAGGAGACTCATCTGAGCTTCTGCGACACGTAGCAGATTTTGTTGCTCGTAAGGAGTTCCTCCTCAGTGTTGTCCACGTCCTGCCCACCCTGTTGTTCCATATACATCTCCATCCACACCCCGTTAGGTCCCGGGGTCCCTGGGACAGCACCTGCACCGTGCCCACCGTGTGCCTTCCCCAACACCAGAAAGACACCGTTCTCCCAGTAAACAGCAAATAGTCAATGTGAGGTTCATTAACAAAGAAAGCCATGAATACAAGAACCACCATAGAGTCCTAGGAACTTGTAGGGAACCTCAGGAATTCGATTTGATTATAGAATGTGTTGATTTGCTTCAGCTGTTCATACAAATATTGCTTTTCAAGATGATTTCTTCTTCGGGCCCCAATTTAAATGAGTTGGCAGTTTCGGAGGCGGCCTTGAGCAGGTGGGTGGGGAGGGCGCCCAGGCTGTAGGCTGACCCATGCTCTTCGCCCCCATGCCTGGTTCACATTTCCTGAGTACCCTTCACGGTAGGGAACAGAGTTTTAGGAGGTCAAATTACAAAGCCCAAAGCCAGCCATGGGGAAGCATCCTTCACAAAATACTTCTTCATTTGGAAATGCAGCCCATTAACACTCCTGTCTGGCTGCCGAAAGCAAGGTGGTGTGTGGAATCTCAGGAGACATGAAAAGTGGTAGCCCCAGAGTCTGCCTGCAAGAGGCTTATAATAGGTTTCAAGCATGGAGATACTCAGTGAGTAACAGGAACCTAAAACCAATGTAGGCAATACATTCTGTGTAGTTTAGAAATGACAGGGTGGCTGGTGACAGAGTTTGCTGGATAATTAGATAATTAGATGAATATGTGGCTGCCCTTCAGGAGGTCAAGTGACACTGATTAGAGTTTATTCCACCAGACTACAATCTATAATTCTATATTTTAGGAAGGACATTCCTGAAAGACCAGATGAACTGTGACACAGCCTGACTACACAGCAGGAGTAATAAAGGTGACAGCTAACGTCTCCTGTCCCCGGCACGGTTCTCCTGGGTGAGCATCATACAAACGTGCGAGGGCCTTGCTTCCATTAGCTGCATTTTGCAGAAGAGGACATGAGACGTGGGGAAGTCTCACCGGCATCGTGCAATGACGCGAGCAGGCAGCTCCTAAGTGTCAGGGCCAGAATTGGAACGAGCAACCTGGCTCCAGGGCACACGCCCGGGAGCTCCAGGCCCGATGCCTCTGGAAGCGATCGGTCCATCACTAGCGCTGACCGCGAGGGAGGGGACTTCAGCTGCATCCACAGGCTCAGTGGACGGAAGCCTACACGGTCTCTGGAGCCCAGTCTGTTGCTCAGGGCAGCCCGTCCACAGGGT